AAAGCAGATGGCTCTCTCCAACAGGGGTGGGCCTCATCCAATCAGGTGAAGGCCTGAGGGGTGGGGAAGGATGGACTTTCCCATGAGTAAGAGGGAATTTCTCCTCCCAATGGCCCTTTAACAAGGACACTCTTTTGGGGTTTGGGGATTTTGTGGAATTTTTTTGTTGTTTTGTTTTGTTTTGTTTTCCCTGCCTTTGGACTTGACCTGAAATATCAGCTCTTCCTGGGTCTCAAACCGTCAGCCTTCAGACTGAAACTACCCCCTCCCCTCTCCTGGTTTTCAATCCTTCAGACTGAGACTGGAACTAAGGTTGCTGACTGCCCATCTTGGGATTTGTCAGCCTTCATACCTGTGTGAATCAGTTCCTTGTAATAAATCTGCATATCCATCCACTGATAGGCCCATTCTATCTAGATAGACATCCTATCTGGATGGATGGATGAATGGATGGTAAGACAGATCAATAGATTGATCCTACTGGTTCTGTTTCTCTGGAGAACTCTAATACACTGGGTCATAAACCTACACTGATATTAATAATATTAATACAGCTCCTGTGAATGCAATGAATTCTGCTCAAACAAAATCTTAGACAAATTCTCAAGTCCTTTGTCATGGTAGGACAATCTAATTACAAAGTTCTTAAGTTTTGATATACACAACTGGTTTAGAATGTCATTTTCCATGTACAGTTCTGAATAATAAATTCAAGATTATGTAGAAGAGATTTCAGAGATTTTTGACATGTAGCGTTTTGGATTTGGGGGATAGGAGAAGGGGAAATGCATCATTTGATTGGGCCCTGAACACTCTGTTGCAAAAGCTGGCAAGAATTCTTTATAAAGAAAAAAATATCAGGCCATTGTGACTAGTAAGTCAAAGATACTTTTATGTTGCATGCTTGGAGGTATAAGGAAAACAGTAAAAGCATGCACAGAAACATTGTTTATGAAGTAGGAAAAATGGTACAACTCTTTTCGATTTGCTTTCAACAAGCACAGTGCGTCACAGATAATCACTTGACAGAAATATAATTTAGAAGCAATAATACCATGATGAATCTTTACTGGACACTGTAGCTGCAGGTTTCTATTTTTACCAAATTTGGTTAGAGGAAGTATAAAGTCTTTTCCGGCTTGCCAAGTTCAAATTCTACTATTCTTAAGCTAAGTAAAACTTGTACATGTAACGGACAAAAATTTCTCAACTCCACAGAGTTCTTTTTACTTAAGTATACTAAAATCCCATTGAACTAAAATTATACATTTTAGTTAAAATGTATAAACACTCCATGCATATACATTCACACACGAATGTGCGCGCACACACACAATTATATACAGACATACGTGCCTCAGTCAAATATGTATCTGATTGTCATTCCTTAACTCTTTATTATTTTTAATGTTTATTTTTGAAAGAGAGAGAGAGTGAGTGCAACTGGGGGAGGAAGAGAGAGAGAGGGGGGTGGGAAAGAGAGAATCTCAAGCAGGTGTGCGCTGCCAGCTCAGAGACCCATACAGGGCTTGACCCCATGAACCGAGAGATCACAACTTGCGCCAAAGTCAGATACTTAACCAGCTGAGCCACCCAGGAGCCCCATGCCTTAACTTTTTAATTTACTGCAGACATACTCATCATAATTCATGACGGAAAGTAGTCTTGTGTTATTTAAGGTGATGTCTTGGATTCTGAAGTTGTCACCGAATAACAGTGATGACAATCATGACGAGGAAGATGCTAATAAATGCTAGCATTTGTATAGCATCTACTGTATGTCCTCCTCTGTTCTAACAGCGTCACATAAATTCACTAACTTAGTCCTCACAAAATTCTCACCAGACAAGTACTCGTATTATTCCCGCTTTACGAATGAGCAAAGTGACACACAGGCCACATTCTCTAAGCATGTAAGACATATTTAAAAAAATTGTTTTGCCTTAATTTGCAATATTAAAACTAGATATTCCCTAAATATTTAGGGGTTATATCATGTTATAAACAGTCCACAGAGTATAATCCATATACTTAGAAATGAAGGTTATATAACAACGTGGAAAAGCTTACAATATAATATGAAGTGAAAAATAATCAGAATATAAAATTGCAAAAGAAAAAGAATATAAAATTGCGTGTCACGCTGATCACAACTATATAGAAATCACTCATGCAGTGCCTGGGTGGCTCCGTCGGTTAAGTGTCCGACTTCGGCTCAGGTCATGATCTCACGGTTTGTGAGTTCAAGCCCCGTGTTCAGCCCTGTGCTGACAGCTCAGAGCCTAGGGCCTCCTTCGGATTCTATATCTCCCTCTCTCTCTCTACCCCTCCCCCACTTGCGCTGTCTCTATCTCTCATAAATAAATAAACTCAAAAAATTAAAAAGAAAAAAAAAGACATCAGTCATGCACACAACCAAGGGCTAGCAAACGTGCAACACAGTGTAGGACCCGCGGCTCCTCCAGGAACTCTCTGCCTCTCCTTCCTCTCGCTGACGAGCTGAGCTTGTGCATGACAACCTCCCCAGCTCGTGCTGAACCCGGACAATCTGGCTTTCACCAGCCATGGTCTTGGACTGGAGTCGCCACTATGAGACACCAAGTCCAAAGGCTGTTTTCTTCTCATCCTCCACCATCTGTGCAGGGCGCATATACTTTGTTACTAGTAATGGCCTTTTTCCAAATATTCTCAAAAGCATCGGTTGGATGGATGATGCCTCCTTCACTGGTTCTTCCCCTTGCTACCTAAAAGACTTGCTCACACCTCTGACCTCTGTCCCTTGGCAATTGCATCTAATCCAATAGCTGTAATATTTACCTCTATGTAACTGGCCCTTAAATAAAGTGAACCCCTAAGCAACACAGGTAAGTGCTCAAACGCCTGCTACACATCTCCACATAGAGTTACCCCAGCAACCACTGGTTATGGTAAGTTCTTCAGTCTTCCCACAATCAGACTGGATCTCCAGACTCCCATTTCTCTCCACAGCACCCTACTTCGCCCTAGCTCTCCAAGCATGAAGCCTCAAATGCCACGTCAGCCAAGGCTCTGTAAAATACAGCTCCAGACTCCCTCCTGCCCATCTCCAACATCTCTCCTAGCTTCCAGAAGAACAGGAACCCATGTTTTGCCACAAACACACCATGTTCATGCCCCATCTATGGAATCTTACTTGAGTTTCAATTCATCCACAAAGTCTTTCTTGGTGACTTCCACTCAGATGTTTTTCTCCACCTTTAAAATCTTTGTATCACTTACCTTTCAGGTTTCATGTTGCAGTTCTCATGTTTGATGTTCTTACATTGAACCCTGAAACTGATGATAGTTTTAACATACACCATAGGGTTCAACCTGATTCTTCTGTTGCTTTGAGCAACACCCCCCCCACCCCCACCACCAAATAAAGAGCAGTGACCACAAAAGCAGGGATGAGTTTTGCTTTTGTGTGTGTGTGTGTGTGTGTGTGTGTGAGCCTCTGAGAAACCCAGGATATCGGAAGTATTTGTCAAAATGAAAAGAATCTCAATCAGTGTGTATATATGTGTGTGTAAAATGAATCCTCTGTAGCAATTAGTTTAACCCATCAGCTCTAACAGTAGAGATGAAGAGCTTTAGCACCTGAAACTTCAAAACTCCTGGTAACATAAAATATTTTGGTTCAAGGAACTGTTTTAAAATCATTTGTGAAGGGAACATTCTTGGATTTAGAGGTTGGCAGGTACAGTAAAAAGCTTTTTAGTTGACTGAAATAAAAAAAAAAACAACTCAAAACACTTTTAAGCACAGGCACTTCCCTTATAAAAACAAACTGCAGAAAGCCAAGCACAGCAGTTTGTGCACAAAGAGCAGGTGCCTCCAGCCATCAGCAAAGAGGCACTGGAGCAGGAGGGGAGTGATTTGCATTTCTATGGCTCCTTTTGTATGCCCAAATTC